CGATTTTTTTTTTTTTTTTTACAAGTAGAATTATTGTAATTTGGAAAAATTGTGATTGTAGCGAACGAGCAGAGAACTGTTATATAGTACTATGCACAGGGCAAGTTAAGTTAAAATATGATTGTCTAAGTATTTTCGTCATTAGTGAAGCGTTTATTTCTTATTTCTTATCGTTGGTGAAGCAGTTTCAAAATAATTCGATAATTTATCATGGTTTTTTTAAAATCATATCATATGATAAAATTGGAAAAATGTAATAAGACAGTAAGATTTGATCATGTTATATAGTTCATCCTGCTTTTTAAATATATCGATTCGATTCGATTCGATGTACTGCATGATTTATCAACATGAAGTAATATTTTTAAATTAGGGATTTGATAAAAATGAAGATTGAATAGTATTAGGGGATTGGAGAGGACAGATCAACAATATGAAATGTGTTAAAGATAGATAACAAGTTAATTTACTTATAATTTTTTCTGGAAAGTGTTATTCTAATATTAGTTATTCATATTTCTAAAATATTGATATATAAAATACTATTAATTTATGCAATATTGATTTATTTATAGGATTTATAGGATTATTATAGGCAGAGTTAAAAAAATTATTATTATAATACACATTTTAGAATTATAATATATACGAAATTAAATTATATAGAATATAAATCTTTTAACGAATATTTTTTTAACGTATTGTATTTAGAGAAATATTTAATGTTCTTTTCATTATTTTCCACACATTTAGAAAAACATACAATCTTATTACTACTATCGATTAACCGAAACGATCAAACATCAAAAAATAATCAGTATCAAACTTAGTCAAGCAATTAAAATTTCACGAATCGGTTGATCAAGTTATTTCGAAATCGAATGTTGCTTGCTCAACGATTAATTTGAAATGAATGACGGTGCGGTTCTCTTTGTCGAATACCGCCACAAAGGATCTAGTTATCAAACCAGTTATGTATGTAAATAGTATACCACGATAGTGAAAAGGTTAGTCGCTATAGGCGTTTGCGACGTGTGAATGATAATAAATTACCAATTCCTCTGTGTACAAAGTAAGCAAACTCGGTTATCTAGAGAAGTGTGGCAAAGGTGAAAGGGCACTTTAACATTTCTTATGTTTCTTGTTAGTTCTAGAAGAGAGCTAACATCGTTCGGATCTAACATGGCCGCCGCCAAGTTTGACTTTAACACGATATTTATTAATTTTACTATTAGATTTTACTACGCGTTAATATCGTGACACATAAGCGCTTCTAATTATTTGCAAACATTGGAGAGGCAGCATTCGATATAATTTGCAAATTATTATTGTAATTTTTTTTAAATACATATATATATATTTTTTAATTTTGTAGTAAAAAAGATGTTAGTATCAATTAATTTCAATTCAATTTTAGTAGAATTTGTTAGTTATATAATTTTAGCACGTTATTAGTTGGGCAATTATCATATTTTGCGATAATAAATTTTTATTAAGTTTCATTATAGTAGTGATATCGGATTAGATTTCGAAAGAAAATTGATGTTTCATTTTGTTATCATTTTTATTTTCGATATATTCTCAAAATTATTATCGAAAGGTTACATTTTTTAATCAAAAATCCAGATTTTCAATACGTCATAGAAAAACTTTTACTTTGCTTTAAAAATATAAAGTATACGGTAATTAAAAACGAATTCGAATGAGAGTTTAAAACATATAAAGTTTCTTAATAGAGAACTTTTACTCGTACCCGATAAATGGCCGAGTTTCAGCGTTTTTCAGTCAGTGAAAATATATTCCAGCGGAAGATGTTTCCTAAAGAAAAATCATTTCACAAAAAGTAAAAGAGAGAGAGAGAAGAAAAACAAGAAAAAAAAAAGAAGTCGAATTTTAAGTAGTCAAATGCTTTTAAATAGAACGTTAATTAAATATTTTTCGTGAATTACTCGTGTATCCTTGCCTTCGAATTCGCTCATCTTCTCATCTTTGTAGTATTAAGTAAGATTTACACGGAATATTATGAATGTTGTTAATTTTTTTTTCACGAATAACTAGCAGAAAAGGACAGTGTTTAAATATGTGTTGGTTGGGATCCATTATTTACGAGAACGATCTTAACGAATGTCGTTGAGCTACGCGACCTCCTTTTCACTAGACAGTGTTATAGAAGCTGCCTTAAAAGATTCAGAGGCAAGGAGATGAGCTTACCCTCAGAGTTAGGACATTATTGCTGCCAGCAGAGTGACATATTTGTAGACAAAGCTGATTAACGTCTTTGCAAATGAAAAGAGCCACTTAATTACACGAAAAGACGATTATTGGAGGATGAATCGACAAGAAAGCTTCTTTGTTATAGCTTTAATATCACAAAAAGTTCGATTAGAAGATGAATTGGATCGAATGCTGCCTTTTCAGAGTGTATACAAAGATAGTATACATATATATATTACTGTTCAAAAATATCTGAATGCTGTATTCATTTTTGATAAGATATATTTTAATTTTTTGAAGGTATATAAGTGTAGAACAATTAACAATGATTTTTTTTATATAAATTAATTATTAGACTTTTTTGAAAGATAAGATTTTCTTAAAATTTATTAATATTTATTTGTTTATCCTTATTTTAAAAAGTATTTGTATTTTCTGATAGTTTCTGATATTTTCTGATTAAATAATACAAAATATGATATATTTACATCTAATTAATCTATATAAATAATAATAAATGCAATATAAATAGCTATTTTAATAAATAATTTTAATTCTATATTAATTTCAAATAGTAAGATAGTAAATACTGCTTTGAATCATTAACTTATTCTCAATTTGATAAAATTCAAATAGATACTTATTACTAGTATGCAAATTTACATCAATATCCAAATATTTATGAACAGTAGTATATATCATGTACATTTATTTTTTTCTTTCCTATATACATGAAACAAAACGTGTTAACAAACGTTCATTAAGAATAATTTTTCAAAGACACTTGGTGTTTTTGTATCGTGTCTCTGTCTCTCTTTCTCTCTGCTGAATGCCCTATTCTTCATTATTGGCTGGCTTGGTCGATGATTGGCAGTCGTATTCGAAATTTCTCGATGTTCAATGTGCAGAATGCAACGGCTTTTATCGGTTATTTTTCGTCCAAAAAAATTTCTCCTCGTTACTTTTTTAACGATTATCTTCGTTGGTGTCCATTTTAATTATGATCATTTTCCTTCTGTTGCTTCGACATCGCATGATACTATGGTAAGTAGAGTTTATATTTGATCAAGACTTCAAAACTACGATATTGGAATTTATACCCAATTTGGGTTTTTGGTTTACATGATTGCAATTTCTCCTTATATTTTACTTGCGATGGAACCTCGATTATTCCTATAAATACGTTTTTATGCTAGAAAAGCTAGCACAAAATACGTGATAATTAATCACGTTGTACGAGTATACTATTTTTTTTTATTTCATTACTTTATTTTTTATTTTTTAAAAATTTTTTTCATTTCTTGACTTTTAATATTATCTCGGAAGAATTTGATTTCAAAATAATTTTTTTGAAATTTTTTTTATAAATCAATTCATCCAATTTATCTCTTTTTTTTTTCGTACGTACATTCACGTTTTTTGAAAAGAACGATACAAATGTTTTGACAGTAAATGTTTTGAAATGTCTGAAAATAATATTATTGAATTAATATTTTTCATGTTTAATCAATTCCGTTTGTTTGACCTGAATTTTATAATTCAATTATGTGGATCAAAAAGATGATCTGTTATAAAGTTATGTATGAAAAATATTCTATTATAAATATAAAATGTACGAGATATGTAGGGAATTGATAATTCCATTTTATTTTTCAAATGAAATTTATAGGAATAAATTTTGCTATTTTAATGACAAGATTTGATGAATATTTATTATAAATTTTATTGAAATTTTTTTTTTATATTTTTTTTTTATTAAAGTCAAGATGTTTTTTTTTTCTTTAATAATTATTCTTTGCATATTCTTCAAATAGATAATTTAAATTAATTAATTTTAAAATTTATTCGTATAAAGTACTGATTTAATCAAATTCGAGGCAAAAGAAAAGAAAACGCTCTTGGTCCATAATTAATGACTCATCTATTCAACGATAAATATATATTTCTCATATTTGTCATATTTTATGATAATGATTTTAATTTTATTCTAAAATTTTATTATATTTTCGCGCTATATTTCCTCCTTGTCGAGTTTTATTTTTTCTTTCGAGATAAACGTGTTTACGAATGGTGGCCAACAAAAATTTTATTGAAATAAAAACCATAAACCATGAACGTGATAAAGAGAAAATATTTCTACATTTCGATGGTATTTTAGAAAAGTTAACAGAATACCATAATTTACAGTTTTATTAAACGAAAATAAAAATATTTTTACTTAATCATTCTTGATTGAAAAAAAAATGCAATTAGAGGGATATTCACTTTCTTTTTAAATACGTATTCTTATTAATAGTGAGAAAGTAAGGTCTAATCAGTCTTCCGTAGACAGTTCTATTTCTGAGGGAAGGAAGTAGCGACTAATGAAGAAAAATACACCTTGATGAGACTGAGTCTTGGATTACACGCTTACGAACTTACAACCACAACTATCTCAGTTATTATCT